TGATTTTTTACAGAGAGGAAGGGAGAGAGAGAGCTAGAAACGTCGATGAGAGAGAAACATCGACCAGCTGCCTCCTGCACACCCCCTACTGGGGATGTGCCCGCAACCAACGTACATGGCCCTGACCAGAATCGAACCTGGGACCTTTCAGTCCGCAGACCGACGCTCTACCACTGAGCCAAACCGATTTCGCCAAGAACTTTAAATAAAGTTTTCAGTATAAACTACAGAGTAGCCCTGTAGTTTGGAGGCCACATGCCAGTGATAGAGCCACTGTTCAATGACATAGGAGAATCAACCCAGTGTGATTTTCACAGAAAGGATACAGTGGAAACTAATGTGTACTTACATGTGAAAAGGGAATTTCATTTTCAAGCACATGTAAGTATAATCAGTTATAATCATAAAGAAAAGGAATATAATAGGTGCTCATAAAATAACTTACACTAACATTTCCCATGTAAAATTTATTGTAAGAGACCTGAAATATAAGGGACCAGCAACACTGTGAGGTAGTTAAAGACTTGAAATATGCACCAAGATTAAATAGATTCACATCCCAGCTCTGCTACATACCAGCCACCCTTTCTGTACCTTCATTTCCTCAGTTATAAAATGGAAATGAAAAGTAGGACCAACCCACAGGGATATTAGATAAATGAAGTGAGGTATAGATACACAGCATTTAGAATGGTGCCTGGAACATAGTAAACACTCAATAAATATTTATTTTTTTCTCTTCTTTTTCTCCTCCTCCCCTTTCTCCTCCCCTTCTCTACTTTTCCTTCTTTCTCTTCCCCTTCTGGGACAAGCATACTAATTGATTTGACTAATGTATTAATCTAAACTTAATACTATAAATATGGAACCAGCAATATTTCAGTTGGAGATATGTTATATTTATAATGGTTCTTTTGAGTTTTTGTATTCAGCCACTTACAATAGTCAATTCATACTGTATTTTATTAAGGGAGCTGTACTCACTAGATATCACTCCTTTTGTTCACTTTTTTTTTTTTCATGTTCTTTTCTCCAAGTTACCTACAGAGCTTAGGATGTCCATTCAACTCTGAAGGATGATAAAAAAAACAAAAAACTTTTCAATCAAATTTCCAGAGGCTCTACCTAGACTATTCTAAAGGTTGCAGGAATCTCAACGCACAATTGAAGATTCACCAGGAGCGATTCAGCCGCCTGTAACTCAGTGTGGGCCCTGTCAATGAGAAACGCTGTTGTGTGCTTTCCGTGCCTAGCTGCTCAGAGGTATTTTATGCTTTGATATCAAAGATGAAAGAAAACTGCTGGAAAGTGAATGTATAATTATGGAGGCTGTGGATTCCACTAAGAAAATACACTATTTTACCCCATAGACATGTCCTAGAAAGACTCAGAGCCCAGGTAATCTCACACCTAAAGGACGAGATATGTAAAGGCAGTCGTGGTTCCTAGCTACATATTCACTTCTTTTTCAGAGAAGTACAGACCTCTGAATTAAAAGGTCTGTATTTTTTTTCCCTTTATTCTAATTGTTGACATTATTACAGATGTCCCCGTCCCTCCCCCGTCCCTCCCCCCTCTCCCAGGCTTATTCTCCTCCACCCAGCCCTCACTCTCCCTTCCCTCTGGCCGTCACCATACTGTTGACTGTGTCTATGGGTTATGCCTATATATGTTCTTTGACTAAACTAGAAATTTCAATCGAGAAATAAAAGGTGCTAAATGTCTTTACAACAATGTATAACACTTTACAAAAATTTATTAGCTTACATTAAACGTTTTTCAATAAATGTGAGAAAACATTTAAAGCAGGCTCCCTTTTTATTATTAGCTCTATTTTGCAAAATGTTAAGCTGGAGGCAACAGAGAAAACAATTCTGAACTCTTTTTTTCAACACATTTAATTAAATAATAAAGTTAGATTAAAATTGGCAACTCTTCCTGCATCTCTATATTCCATAAAATAAAAAGCAATGCTAGCCTGCTATCTTGGTGAATGTTGCTATAAAACATAATGTGTGGTTTTTATTAAATACTGTTTGGAAAGAAAATTTACCTTAATACTGATCATGCTAGTCTGCTCTAACTGTATTTTTAGAAAAACTATTTTATAAACAACCCTAGAGATAAAGAGAGTTCCAGTATATAGACATATTTGAACTCTCTTGGTGATATTTTAAAATTCTGATGGACACCTGCTGCATATCAATGATCTAACTATCTCCTGGAAATCCAAGTAAACTGTCCTAGTAGAAAAAAAAATGAAAAAGGCCTCCACAATAAATGTTCAAATTTACTTAACTTGGTTTCTCAGTGTTATAAGGTACTTAAAATGTCCTGAATTTAAAAAAATCTCCAGTTTTATGATTCCTTGAAGCTTTAAACAACACTAAGGAATGTCCTTGGAATAATTGGCAATATTCTAGGAACCTGTTTTCCAATGTGTGCTCGACAAAATGTTAAGTCTAAGAGATGCTACTTATAAAAGTATTTTATGACCAAACGAGAAATGCTATCTGTTCCTTCTTTATTACCACCTCACGGTTTCCTTAGAATACACGCTCTCTGAAAGCAAGGAACTTGTCTAAGTTTTGGTCTCTGCCATAGTCCTAAGCCTGCAACAATGCATCCCTGTTAGCAGAATACATGAAAATGAGTTAGCAAAGGAACATTAAAAGCTCTGATCAATTCTCCAGTCAAACCACTTTCATTTTTCTCTCACCCAGAGTACCTCACACCTTCTTCATCATAGGAATCTATTGTTTATTCTAGTAGCACTATAGACTTTTATTTAAAAAAGAAAAGAGAGTATAGAGAGAATTATGATAACAAACATGTCACCACTACCCCTTTGAAGAATTGAATGTTACAGATACAACAAAAGCCCCTGGGGAGCCGTCCTCCATATCAGTCATCTCAGGCTCCACTTCTCCCTCAAATGAGGTACTCCCACCATTAGGGTTTATACTCACGTGGGATTTACTAACACCCCACTTTGAAAAATCCTAAACTGAGAGAATGGTAGGACAGCTCCTTTAAACACTAAGATTTAAATTTATTTCTTGATAGAATATAGTTTGCAAATGGTCAGCTGTAATATCCACTTATTCCATTAATACAACAATGAGTAAAAATTAAATGAAATAACACTGATATAGAAGCAAGACAATGGACAACTGTATGTAATAATGATTAATATAAAGAGAATAAGTAGCTTATTTTGCAAATAAACTGATATGAAATATCCTATATAAAAAGAGCTAATATGCAAATTGACCGAAGGGTGGAACGACTGGTTGCTATGATGCACACTGACCACCAGGTAGCAGATGCTCAACACAGGAGCTGCCCCCTGGTGGTCTGTGCACTCCCACAGGGAAGGCAGCTCAGTCAGAAGCTTGGCTCAGTGCAGCAGCTGTGGCAGGAGCCTCTTTTGCCTGTGGGGCAGTGTTAAGCCCTCAGTCAAACATCCCCGGAGGGCTCGAAAACTGCAAGAAGGTGAAAGCCAGGCTGAGGGATCCCTCCGAGTGCACAGATGCTGTGCACCGGTTTCTAGTAAATATGTATATCTTAGGTCACTGTACACATACTTAAGAAAATGTAGAGACATTTGCTATTTAACCTAGACTAAGTAATCTGGGAGCCATCTGTACAGTTATAGAGAAAAATATCCTAATAATTTTGACAAAAGTAAAACTGTGTCTAGATCAATGTCACAGCAGGCCCACATTTACATAAAAGATGCTGCAAAGAAGACACTCTTTTCCTGAGCTGAATCAAGTTACTAGTAAAGAATCTCTTTTATGAACCAGCATACTATGATAGGGAAACACAATGAGCTAACAAAGTTTAATTAGGAAAAAAACCTATTTTTAAAATTTTAGTCAATATTTTTTAAAGCCTTGTTTTGGTAAAACCTTTCTTCCTCAGATTTTCAAGTACCATTATAGATATTTCTAAATTGACTTAGACACACTTTAAGTATGCTTTAGCTAAAAGTTCTTTTGCAAATTTAATTTTTGTGCCTTGCTTCTGATAAAAGATAAAAAAGGCCTAGCACAATATATTTCCACATTGTTCCATTTCCTAATTTTATTTATCAAGGATATTGAATATTCAATTTAGTGAAAGAAAAGCACACACAATTGAACTTAATACCTGTTATGGGTAGAAAATCACATACACAATTAAACCTAGAATCAGAGCAGGGGTGGAGAACGGCCAACCTGCACACTTTATAAGCCCTCGAAAGCATTTGGTCTGGCCCTGCCACGGCATTAGGAGTGAATTCATTAAATATTTGATCATGTATAGCAGGCAAATTTTTAAGTTGATACTTTTGAACAGCCTGAGAATAATGTTATAAATATCCAAATGGCCCTTGGCAGAAAAAAGGTTCCCTATCCCTGAACTGAGCAACAAAGAATATGAGGTGTGCAGGGTATATTAGCCCCATTCCTCTTAGTCTTAATCCATGCTATTACCCCAACACTACATACACCAAAACAATGAAGCACAGCATACACAATTTTCATTGGTCATTAGTCCCTTGTAGTTTTTATAGTAGAAGGACTGAAATTTCTTCCTACTCTTTTTTTTTTAAAATATATTTTATTGATTTTTTACAGAGAGGAAGGGAGAGAGATAGAGAGTTAGAAACATCAATGAGAGAGAAACATCGACCAGTTGCCTCTTGCACACCCCCTACCGGGGATGTGCCTGCAACCAAGGTACATGCCCCTGACCGGATTCGAACCTGGGACCCTTTAGTCTGCAGACCGATGCTCTACCACTGAGTCAAACCGGTTTCGGCTCTTTCTACTCTTGAAACCATTTTACTTTTCAAGCCAACACACTGAATTCTTCTCTTGTAAAATACCAACAGAAAGTGAAATGTAACCTGACTCTTTATTCAGAAGCCCCAAAGTCCTTTCTCAGGTTAAAATGAATGAAATGGATTAGTATCCAAAAATATTTGTAAAAGAAAAAGTGTTAATTCCTACCTCCATTGTCTTTTAGATGCAATGCTATCTTGGTATCATCTGAAAGAGAAACTCAAAGTTATTATAACAGAAAAAATTTAGAAGTACATAAATCTTAGGAGCAATAATTATCCACTGATGTTTTAACGATAACGTGAATAGATTTTAACACTCCAGTGAGTTAATTTCTTGTTCAATGAGAGCAAGTCCTAGCTTATACGAGGTAGTACTAAAATTTCTTCATGAGATCAAGACTTACTCAAGTATTATATGATTAAGATCTCTGAGAAAGGTACATTGCTATAATTGTAACTTAAAATACATTTATTTTTAATTTTCAAAAATGAGTAATTGTAATTAGACTTTATAGTATGATCTGTTTATCATTAAAAAAATAAAATAAAGAAAATTTCAAATTAATTGGAGTAGTAATGATTTTCCAATATTTACAAATTTAACTTAAAAATTTAAGTGCTTGTTCATTGCTAATAAATATGTCCAACATCACATAAAATTATATTGACTTCAATGGATAAAATGTAGGTTATAATTTTTTTGTTTCAGTGGTTATATTTTATTTTATAGGGTAGGATTCAAACTGTAGGAATATTTCACAGGGTAGGTTTCAAATTGCAAAAATATTTTCACAGGCTATATAACAACCTAAATAAATTGGATTAAAATATAACATTGGTGTTAATATCTAAATAAATATATTTAATAGTTGTCCTCTTCCTCACTATCACTTCATTCTAGTTAATTTTTGATATTCAAGTAAATTTCAATGAAAAGCAAAGGCTTGTAGTTTTATTCCTTATTCAAATGAAAGCAAGGTTTAGTACAGTAAAGAAGTGAGAACATTTTTTCTTCTCAAAGCTTACTTTTGGCGAACTAGTCTCACATTTCTCTTTAGTGATACCATTCAGAATACTAGCAAACTTTGGCTCATCTTCCTCTTCCCCCAGTGAATTGTACCCATGCACTAATGGACTCTGGTATGTTTCTCTCCCTTGGAAAGAAAGAATCCCAAAGATAATTTCTGTGACTATTATAGTGTCTTCCACAGACAATGGACCAATTTATTTTATTGATTGTATCCAAGCAAATATTAGAATTGCAGATGAGTTAGAATTATGTATTGTTCAGAATCCAAAATCAATGAATATTTTATATAAATTTGTCTTCTTATCCTGTGTCTAAAATGTGGAATTCAGTTACTTCAAAGTTTAGCAATATGAAAGGAAGTCTATATTTCTTTTCTAGGGAGGACAGGCAGACCACTATTGAAAGGCAAAGTATATTAAAAGGATCCCAGCCCATATTTTTATTCCATAATAATTTTGTCTTTTCCCCTTTAGAAATCTAGTTTGCTAAAAAAAAAAAAAAAAAAAATTCCCTCTAGAGAACAACTCTCCAGTCCATGTCAAAACCATGAGTTTGCACCTTCTGTGGGCAGGCTGGTGGGCAGCTGGGATGTCGCTGCTCCTCTGGTGGTTGTTAAGAACTTAAATAGCACAGTTGTTGCTTGTGTGGTTGTGCTGGTCTGAGAAGAGCTTTCCACTGGCTCGATGGTCTCACACATCTTCTCCTTAGACTAATAAAAGAAACAAGTGGGAAAACAATTTATGAGTGATTGTGTATTATTTTAAATTACATCAATGAAGTGGTCTGTAAATCACAAAAGACTCTCGAATCAACATTTTTGTACAGGACTATATTTAAGGATTTGTTCATTTACAAAGTATGTAAAATAGATGAGAGAATAAATTGGATGTAAAAAAGCATTTCCATCTTTGGATTTGAATTTCATAATTTTCTGCTGATATCCTTTCTGTTTACATAATACTGCTGTTAATCTTGCGCTAGGTTTTATATCAGTATATGTGTAAAAGACATGATGTCAAAAAGGAAAGGTTATGCAAGAAGGAAAACATGTACGTGAAGATAAGATTTAAAACATAGTTAGGTATGTGAAAAAAAAATGCATTCTTTCCATATCAAACTGATAATGACAAATCTAAATATTTGGTGACTGCTCCCTACTATTTCTACTATTACAACAATAATTCCCCACTGATTGGATATTTAAAATTTGTTTTCTTTTGTAAAATGTTGAAACCACTCAAGTGAAGGATTGAGCAATACTCATGTAATCACTTAGCCTATCTTTTCCCTAGCAGAGCTTTACTGAGGGCAGCAGGGAAAGGCACATGTTGTACTTTTCACCTATTGTCTATGAAAATAAATCCTACACCCTTCACCAGTAGCAATACTCAACATTCAAACTTTTATGATGTTGAAGTTGTGCTCTTTGTGCTTCGAAGGACTCCATCCCTCACATGAGTCTTGAGGAAATACCAGACAATAACTATTCTGACATGGAAGGTACTTCTCCCACATTTGAATTTATTATTAAATAAATACTCCTCTAGTCATTAGTGAAGTAAAACACACTTTACTACCGCTTAGAATGAGTTCCTGAGATGGCTTCCTTTTCGCTAATTGGATATGACACAGTTTCTTCTACACTTCATCAACCTGGGACACATTCATTCCCCTAATTTTAGTTCCTGTATCTTCTCAGCCCCAAAGATCTCATGATCACTTCTTGATTCTACTTTAGTTATAATCTCCATATTCTGGACCTTATCTGCATTTGAAAATAGTTTACTTCTGAAATAATAACTCCAGTTACACTATTTTCAGCTAATCTGTGTACCTGTTCACTCAAATTCTTCTTATCCTGTGATTACATAAATTATTGCCTTCGTTTATGTATTCTTTTTTCTATTACATCATTTCTCTTTTCAATATCATGCATCTTTACTTATTCTTCTTTCCATATTACCTTTACAGAAAATCACTAATATTCAATATAGTTGTTTATTTTTATTTATTTATTTATTTATTTATTTATTTATTTATTTATTTATTTTTAAGAAATCAACCTGTCCTTGACTTGCTCAGGCACAGCTGAAGAAAAACCACACAGCCCTCCACAGAGAGGTCTGAAAACCGACCTCCTGTATCCTCAACAGGGCCTTTTAGGCTGCTTGGCAACAATAGCCTGCTTTGCTAACATCTTTTCCCATTATCCTAAGTATAAACTTCAAAACCTTTCTTCAATCTACTTAAAAACTCCAATCCCATAATTCCTCTCCCATTTTTATCTCATGGGCTCATCTTTTATTTCTTAAATAAAAGAGCCATCAGCAAGAATTCTTTCTCTTTACAAACCAGCATGTTTCCTTGAATCCGTACTAACCTATCCTTCTTTTCTTCTGTTGTAATAGAAGAGGCCCATTATTTAGAGCTGTTTTCTCAGTCTCCACATGGATCCAACTCAGCCCACCTTTTCAGGCATTTCTCAGACTTCCACTTATCCATTTATGAAAACCTTGTTTTTACCCAGTTCACTTTAACTAAAATGTCTCATACCAATATTTATTCACTGAACCTTCCCTGGTATACTGTTGATATCTCATCAGCATTTGGCAGAGTTGTCTACTTTCTAGTCTTGGGTTCTGTAACACACGTGTTCATCACTTTTCAGATACCTCTCTCACAACTCCTTCTCATTTTCTTTTAATTCTGTCTGTCCTTGAAGTGTTGGTGGGTTTTATGGATTTTTCCTGACCCATCTTTTCTCTGTATGTATTTTCATAGAAATCTCCTCCACACCCTTGATTTCAATTAATATCTTTATGTTCCTTATTCTTAAATCTCTCTCTCTAGTCCATATTCCCCTCTTGGATTTTAGATCCCAAATATTCATCTATTGATTTAGCATATGCATGTGGATATCATAATATTTCAAACTCACATATTAGTCTCCTCCTGTTTTTATTTCAAAACAAAAACAAAAACCAGTATTGTCAAAAATCCTGAAGATTAAGGTAAAATTTTGGTCTTGGTTTGTCTACGGCAATAAAGATGGACTACAGACTGCAATTGCAGTAGACTGAAGTACAGATAGATTCTGTCTAAAACATGAATTTGTAAGCATTACTAGGATTTGCAGGGAGTAAAGAAAAATATCCAAGGGTGCCTTTATATTGTCTCCCGGACAAAACAGAATAAAGCAAAAGCAGTATACCGTATAACAGTAGGAGCAATATACATTAAGTAAAAATTAGGGCTTGCTTTGAGGGCAAAAATATCAGAAGTCAATATTACCCTGAGGAGTTCAAGCCTTATGCCAGCACTAGATGGGGGAGGTAAACCTAAACTGCTCTTCCTCATATTAAGGCAGGGAATACAGTTTCTTCTAAAACCCCCAGGTTCCCATCAGCAAACCCTCTTTGGTGGAAAGCATAACCTATCTAGGTCATAGGCATTTCCATGGAATAAGAGCAAACAAGTATGCATTTCTAACTAAAGGACACAAAAAAGAAATATGAAAGAAAAAGAGTACTTTGACAAAGAGTAAAAACAATGAATGACTTATTTATACTACTAAAAACTTTACATCCTGGGATCATCCAATAGGAAATATTGAAAAATTATATATGAAATAAATAAATGAAAGGTAACATTTAAAAATGAACAAGGAACGTAGACTATAAAAGTAATCAGGCTTAATAAAGTGTCAAATTTAAATTTTATAAATAAAGACATCTTTTTAAAAATTACTATTTCAATGAGTAGATTAAGCAAGATGAAGGGAGTATTCATAATCTGGCAGAGAGATTGGAAGAAATTCCCCAGGATGCAGCATAGACCAATAAGATAGATGATACACAAGGGACACAAAAGACACAAGGAAGTGATGAAAAGGTCAAGCCTAACTCCAAAGAGCTCAGATAGTGAGAAAGACAATGGAACTAGTTGGAGTGAATACTACATTTACCAAGCTTAAAACTCAATTGATTAGAACACAGTTTTGAGCACATATAGATCATTCATTCAAATTGCTCATATTCTATTAAAAAAAAATTCCAACCAATTTTAAAGAATGAGTATTATATGGACTATGCTCCTGAACAATTTAATTAGATTAGGAGTCAATAATAAGAATATAACATTTCTATATATCCATAGTTTTGAAATGCATTGATTCACCATTCAATGTAATTATAACAAATATAATAATGTGACTGATGGATTACAGATGTTGATAAGTTAAGTCTAAAATTTATATAAATAAAAAAAGCCCCCAAGAAGTCAAAACACTTCTGAAGAAAAAGGAGACTTGTCTTATGGATAGTAAAATTTCTTCTAAAACTATAGTAATTAAGACAGTGTGACCCTGGTTAGGATATTGACAAGTTGAGAATTATACGAGTGCATCCTAGAAAGCAACTCCCTGACTGTGTGGAAGCTATATGAGAAAGAAGTAGCTTTGAAAGAAACTGATTAAAGAAAAACTATTCAATAAGTGCTGCTGAAATTATTCATAAAAGAGAAAATCCCTGCAAAACTAAATCTATAAAAGCAATCCCAAATGGAGTAAATACTTTAACATCACAGTTTTAAAACATTTAAGAGAAAATATATGAAAATAAACCTATGAAGTTTGGCAGAAAACGTCTTTTTAAACAAGATGTACATGCACACAAAACTAACCACTTCATAAAAGATTTATTAATTTAACACATTAAATTGTGAATAAATGATAACTAAATACAATCTTAGAGAAATTAAAAAGATAACCTCAAATCTAGAAGAAAATATATACAAGTGGAGATAGTAGCTAGAGCAATAATACAACAAAAATAAATAAACTGATATAAGGAACAGAAAGTAAGAGGAAAGCTGTCATCACTTATAGGTGATATGCTTGTTTATTGAGATCTATTTTTTAAATTAGCAAAACAGTTTTGTAAAGTGGCTATCTATCAGATTTAGAACATTTTTAAAAAAATATATTTTATTGATTTTTTACAGAGAGGAAGGGAGAGAGATAGAGAGCTAGAAACGTCGATGGGAGAGAAACATCGACCAGCTGCCTCTTGCACACCCCCCACCGGGGATGTGCCCGCAGCCAACGTACATGCCCCTGACCGGAATCGAACCCAGGACCTTTCAGTCCACAGACCAACGCTCTACCACTGAGCCAAACCGGTTTCGGCTATCTATCAGATTTATTATATCTGTTATGTATAATCAATGAAAAGTGCTATGCCTAAAAAAGGAAATATAACTATGCAAGTAAAAGGATGAGAAAAAGATATGAACAGGCACCTCACAGATAGAAAAGACAGGAGGAACACCGAAGACAAAAAGCATAAGGAAGTTCAGTCAATTTCATAAATGATTGGTGAAACATAAAATAAGTTCCAAATAAGATACCATTTACACCCATTCAATTTGCAGAAATGAAGAGATATGATCAAAATCAGGATTTTCAGGATCATAAAATAATGAGAACCTGAAGGAATGCCAGTACTGTGCTGGTAGTGTAAGTTTACAGAATGGAAGCAATTTGACATTTACTTTCAAAGTTGAACACATACCTAACTGACAAGCAGTAATTCCACTTTAAAGAATGTTAGGGAAACTTGTGCATTTGATTCAGGAGACAATCATACAATCTTATTCTAATAGAGAATATCTGGAAATAATGTCCATAAACTAAATACTGAGTGAAGAAACTATGTAAGAATATGTATGTAGCTAAAGAATATAAATGCATAGCCCATAAACACAGACAACATTGTGGTGAGGGCCAGAGACAGGGAAGAGCAGGGTTTGGGTGGAGGTGGGCAAAAGTGGGGAAGGATGGGGGACATCTATAATAGTGTCAATGACAAAAATAATAAAAACAAAATAAAATGTTGAGATTCTAAAAAAAATTTATATATATATATATATATATATATATATATATATATATGGAATATGAATCTAGGATGACAGAGTTTGATGTTTTCTTTGTTGTTGTTGTCCAATTGTTTTACTGATGCATACCAGTGCCTAAAAATGCCAGTGGCACACAATAAATATTTGATGAGTAAATGAATAGGATATTCATATCATGGAATATAAGGCTATGAAAATGAATAAACCACCACCACAGGCACCAGCATGGATAAGGGTTATGATCAAATTCCGAGTTGTAAACTCAAAATTCAGACTAGTCTTATTTATTTTTAAGAGGGAGGGGCTAGGGTGCAATGGAACAGGAGCAGAGAGCCAGTTTCCTAATCATTAGTAATTCTAGTTCAATCATTGATATTCATTTTTTTATTGTTTCAGAACCATAGTAAAATAATAAAGATGTTTTTAAAATGTTTTAAAGAAAACACTTTCACAGTTCTCATTTCACTCATCTAGATACCTAAGAATCCTTTTATCACACCCACTGTGTCACCAGCACCTTCCCAATGGTTTAGTGCAGATCCTTAGTGTCTTTGGCCTAGGTTATATATATATAGCTAAAGACAACTTACTGGCTTTTTTCACTATAATCCATTATTTACCCATAGGCTGGGTGATTCTTTAAAAAGAAACATTTGGATCAAATAATCAACTAATTAAAACCCTTCAGGTAGTTATTTTTTCCCTGGGTAAAGTCAAAACTTATTTAACTTGTCACATTTTGGTCCCTGCTTACATCACCAATGTCATCTCATGTTATTCCTCTTCTTAGAACTTCAATTACCCTTCAGACATCCTCTTAAATATCACCTCAAACAAAACTTACCTTACACTACTTAGCAAGACCATACTTGAGATACTGTATCTTTGCTCAGTCTCTCTAAGAGCAGTCCTTTGTTCAATGGTCTATCTATCCCAATGTACACACTTCTTACACTTTCACATTATTGGTGCTTAGAACAGTACATACTAAGTGCTCATAATAGGATGTGCACTTATTGAATAAACTCATCTCACAAGGTGAGAAAGAAAATTTAAATCAGATTTTAGACATGGAAAATGGACTGGAGTTGGTGATGTTTACTTACTTATAAAAATAAGGGTAGATAATTGATTACCATAAAATTAGTAATGCTGATAATTTATTTCAGAATAAAACATGTACACTAAAAACTACAGTATGTAGTCAATTCTGAGCTCACTGGAAGTAGAGAGTAATTTTTTAAAATCTTTGTAATTTTAGTGCTTAGTACAAGCCACAGAACATGGTAAATTCCCTACAAATATATTTAGGATGGTTTCTTCTGCCTCCTATGAATTGTAGTGGGTCCACAGTGAAGCAAGAAAATTAAGATGTCTGAATTACACACTTGATATTAGGCAAATATAAATAATTGAGATAACTGATTATATTAAAAAGTCTACCTCACAACATTACTATAACTCTACCAATATATTTTCTTTTTGAACTATGATGTTAAGTAAGCAAAGCGAAATAGATAGATTAGTATATATCATGGTAATGACTTATATGAATGTCAAAGGTTGATTAAAGTTCAAGATATTCTCAGAGAAGTATTTATCAAGATATTTACAAGACACCATAAAAACTTAACTTGATAAAGAATCTAGTAACTATCATTCACTAGTTTTTTAAATAGCTCTTTGGCATGATTTGCTTAACCGATGAGAAAAATTGTGTAACTGTTCATTGTTTTTATTCAAAATCCATACCCTAAAATTTAAATGGCGAAGAAACATACTGTTCTTTGTGAACTTTGCAGAATATGTTTATGTGAGCCTGAAATGACCAAGTGGATGCAATTCACTAGAAAACTGTTGTGAATAGGTTCAGATTGCCTCTGCAACTGTCCACGTTTATATCAATTGCTTCATTGCATCATTGTCTCCATCATATTCGCAGAATATCTTGGGAGTTACTGTTTCTATGTTATATCAGTCCAATTTGTTGCAGTCGATCTTTTCCTTCATACCATTGGCTTTATAATTTGAGTGGAAAAAATATGAAAAACTAGGTCTTAGAAAAGCAGAAAGGAAATGTTTAAGAGAACTATCCTTTGCTCATAGAAATTCAAATCCTGATTTTATTATTCCCTAGCCACATACTCGACCCTGGATACCCTCACAACATCCCTCCCCACTATTTCCTCTCACCCCTCCCTCTTGTCCTCCTGGTAATATGGGGGCAATAACAGCCCCTACCTCATAGAAAGGATATGAGAATAAATTGAGAAAATGCATGCAAAGATTTAAAACCCCACGGGACTCAATAAATGCTGTCTACTTTTACCAAATGAGATACCATTTTCACTAAGTTATAGCATCTCTACTGTATATGACAGCTTGTTTCCCTGAATCTTGTCATAATAAAGAACATGTGTACCTCCTCAGGGCATCCACTGTCCACCCAGTCCTGGCGATGACGATCAAAGCCACTGGAACATCTTCAGAGAAGACCACATTGCAGTTCAGAGAAAGAAGTACGGGTGAAAAGTGAGAAGCAAAAAGAAAAAGAAAGATTGGTAAGTAGGTAATTCTCAAATTTTCAGTTTAGTGCAACAAGCTTTCTTCTGCAGACCTGTTGATTGGAGCAGCCATAAAGTATTAACAGTGTTCTGGGTCACAGCTCACTCCCATGTGGTGATTTGAGTAGGTCAAATCTGGCTGCAAATGACTCCACTGAAGCCCACTCCACTGTGCAGGACACTGGGCTCCCAACCCAAAGGTAAGACCACTTGCTATTCTAAGTAGTTGGTTTTCCTCATTTCTGTTCTCATCATCCAAACAAGTGGCTATAGAAAAACATCTTGCAGGTGTTATTTTTCAGAATATCAGATCTTTTTATTTGTTTTGTTTTTCTTAAGTTTTAAAATTTAAGACACATAGTCATACAAACTGTACTGTATTGTAAAACATTAACTCAGCAGGTCCAGGATGTTCAACCCACATATTCCAAAGAAATAACCAGCCCTTGGGAGATACAGCCTGTGGAATGTCCTGCTGAATAAATGCAAGATAGTTTATGATAACAATATGATTTATGGTGAATATCTGTTTTATTCACCTGGAGCCCTGGGGCAGGGAGTGGAGGGAGGACTGGAGACTAGAGATAAGGTTAGTCATGGAGAATTTCATACCTATGTGACTGACCCTCCATAAAAACCCTGGACACCGAGATTTGGATGCATTTCCTAAGTTGACAGTGCATGCTGTGTGTTCACAAATTGTTGCTGGAGGAAGTACTGTCTGTATGACTCCATTGGAAGAGGACAACGGAAAGCTTCTCTTCTGGACTCTGCCCTAAGTGCCTTTCGCCTTTGCTTATCTTAAACTCTATCCTTTTGCTATAGAAAATGGCAGCCTTGGGAATAACAGCTCTTCTGAATTCTGTGAGTCCTTCCACTAAGTCATTCAATCTGAGTGCGTTACTGAGAATCCCTAACAACACTATGATTAGGTCATATCTAAAATGTCTACTTGAGTAAGCACTAGGCTAATAAGATTTTGTTCACTCTGCCTCGACTGGGATAATTTTCTTCCCTATAGCTACAGTCCATTGATTTTTTTTAAGAAACACAGAAATTACTCTCCATAGCCTATTCTGATAAAGTTTCATAATTGCTATTGATCACATATTATTTTGCTATGTAACTTTTTTTCTTTATATAAAATGTCATGTGCTTATTTACCAAACTTTATTGTTAACATTTTAAAATTATGGCCAGTGTCATATATGATCATACTTAGTATATCTAACACATGCTTTCATTTTCTTATTAGAAATTCAAAGTACTTTTGTCAGTTTATTAAAATTAAAGATTTAAATTGCTCATGATTTTAATATCTCTATAGTAATTTACATACAACATATATGAACCCATATTAATAAATGTTAACCTAAAGATAATTAAATATTTAAAAAAAATAAATGAAGACTGTTCAATTTCTGTCTTAAATTTTCTTATAGGGCTTATAGTGCTACTATTTTTTCCCACTTGTTTTGCAGAGGGTCCACATGATGACTTTTTCTAAGAATCTTTGCCAGAGATTATGTACTATGGCAAGAATGAGCATAATTTAATTCAAGTGGAATGTGAAAACAACTTTATTGTCAACATAAAAAAACACCATATCTATCATTCTGCCCAGACATGATTCATTGGAGCTCAGCTATTTTATGCCTTCCATCTGTGTTGAATGAGCATAACTGCAGAATAAATATCAGTGTGTGACCTGACACGCTAACTTTGAGAATCCCCAGTTGGTCAAGGCTATCTCTGATTATGTAAAGAAAATCTAACATTTAGAGTCTATTTAATTCTGCTTGAGTTAGATGGCTGTTCCCTCCTGTTCTTTTTGCTTTGCAAGTTTGTTTAAATACTGAAAAATATACATACTGACATTGTCTTTTGCAAGATGAGGAAATATTGATTTTCTAGAATAACAATATTTTGGAGAGCCACCTGACTACAAATAATTAAATGGAATAGTTCATTTTAAAACGAAGTTTATTTTTACATACAGTATGGCAAATGTATTCAAAGACAGTGGCAAATAACAACTTTTACTGTATTTTATAACAAGATTGTACTAAATCTTAAATTTATAAGTCAATTGAAATTTTATCTTAAGTAATTAGTTCTTTCTTTTACTTTTTAAAAAAATGTATTTTATTGATTTTTTACAGAGAGGGATAGAGAGTTAGAAACACTGATTAGAGAGAATCATCAATTAGCTGCCTCTTGCATGCCCCCCACTGGGGATGTGCCCCCAACCAAGGTACATGCCCTTGACCGAAATTGAACCTGGGACCTTTCAGTCCACAGGCCAATGCTCTATTCACTGAGCCAAACTGGATTCGGCCAGTAATTAGTTCTTTAGATGGTTAAATCAATTGCAGGGAAAAGTACAGAAGCACTGCATTTTGCTTGACTTATTAGATGGTTCCCCAGTTATATATGTAAAATAAGGTTCTACTGAAAATATGTGATTCAATTAAGCAATTTATTCATTTATTCATAATTGGTTCTCTATTAATTGATCTGCTGTTTAATAATTGCTAGGGTAGGAAGGGTTGACAATGGCAAACACCAATAAGATTTGGTTTGAAAAGCTCATGCATTCTGTAGCTTACAGTGCTTTAAATTAACACAACTGCCCCAGCTTATTTGGCTCCTTGGATAGAACTTTGGCCCGTGGACTAAAAGGTCTCGGGTTTGATTCGGTCAAGTTTTCTCTCTCTCTCCCCCCACCCCTTCTCTCTGTCTCACTCCCTTTTTCTTCCCCCTTCCTTCTGCACTCTCTAAAAATCTTCCTTGGGTAAAGATTAATAACAACAATAACAAAAATTAACACAACTGAATGCTGCTTTTTTAAAGAATTTTTATAACCTAATATAATCTAAATAGCACCCAAACACAATTATAAACAAGTGTGTGTATGCTATAAATTATTAAGAAAAAACACCTTTATGTTATTTCTTAATTTAAAATGAACCAAAATCATTTTTGAAATCAACTTCCTCTCTCCACTAAGCTGCTATGTGTTTTTTTCTAAAATACAGAGTCATTAACATTGCTGTACTCCAGCATATTGACTTCCAGACATTTTAAAAGTATATTTTTATTGATTTCATAGAGGAAAAGGAAAGGAGAGAGAGGTAGAAACATCAATGATGAAAGAGAATCACTGATCAGCTGCCTCCCACATTCCCCCAACTGTGAATTGAGCTCACAACCAAAGCATGTGTCCCGACCAGGAATCAAACTGTGAATTCCTGTTTCATAGGTTGATACTCTACCACTGAGCCACACCTGCCAAGCAATTTCCAGACATTTTTAACACTGTTAGCAAACAGACTCTTCTACATTGTAACCATCTAGTATTCCTTTTAAACTAAATTCCTGGGTATATCTGTAGAAGAAAGATTCTCTGATAATTTGGGTTCAGGAATTTTCATTGTAAATAGTCATCCAATGTGATTCTTGCCACACTGAAATCTGAAAACCACTGACATCCTGTATCTGTCCCCATGGCAGGCCCCTTCCCACTCCTCCCACTCATCACTACAACCTGTTCTTATGCCCATTAGTGCCCCTCCCTGGATGTGCTCTTTGAGGTTCCTGACTTTGAACCTGCTGTTACTTGTGTATAGAATACCTCCCCTCTGTCTAATCAGTAAACCCAATTGAACGGAAGCTTATCTACTCCAAGAAGCATCTACTTTCTTCTCACCCAGAAGGGTTAGCAACCCTTTCTCAGTGCCTTCCAATATCAACCCAATGTCACGTGCTAGTATCTATTACACTACAATTGGTGGTGTTTGAGCTTATCTTTTTTTTTTTTAATATATTTTATTGATTTTTAACAGAGAGAAAGGGAGAGAGAGAGCTAGAAACGTCGATGAGAGAGAAACATCGACCAGCTGCCTCTTGCACACCTCCTACCGGGGATGTGCCCACAACCAAGGTACATGCCCTCGACCAGAATTGAACCTGGGACCTTTCAGTCCGCAGACCGACGCTCTACCACTGAGCCAAACTGGCTTCGGCTGAGCTTATCATAATAAGACCTCCAGGAGAACATGGTTCAAAGGTAGGATTTGAAGTTCAACTGCTTGCACTAGAATCTTGACTTGGGCACAAGACAGGTATGTAATCTTAGGAAGTTTTTTCCCCCCTATCTAATCTTGTTTCCTCATATTCAAAATGAGGTAGGAGAGGTTATGTAAAGATTAAAGCTAGAGTTTGCTGCACAGTAAACATTTAGACAATAGCAGCTGTTTTTCATACCTAATCATGACTTTGTAGTATACATGTGGAAAGGTCAATAATTGTTGAAAATGAATCAGTGAGATTTTTATATCAACAGTATTTTGGAAGATGTTTAGAAATTAATTGTGTACCATATAAATGTGAAATATATCTAGGAATCTATAATAATAAAAGGGTAATATGCTAATTAGATGGAATGTCATTCTGGACATCATTCCAGATGAAGCCAGGGCCAGGGGGAAAATTGTGTCAGCAACTGGGTGAAGGAAGGCCTACTCTTGCACAAGTTTCATGCATCATGCCTCTAGTTAGTATGACAAAATTTTATAAGAAATATCCAAGTTGCTCTCAAATATGGGACAACTCTTTATTCAATATTTTGTAAATATTTCTCAAAAACTGACCTATGTTTATTTAATACATATTTAACATTGCACTTCTATTTAATATGTATCCTAGCTTTGATGTTTCTAATGTTTTTTGGAAGAAGTTATTTTCTTCTCAATCTTATCTAATTCCAAAACAAATGGATAGGGAGATATACTTCAAATTAATTGTACTATTCTCCTCTCACATTCAATCAGATGTTGATTTCAAAGCCCTAAGGGACCATGTTAAGTGAACCCTATTAAATTAGGCAGTCTAGAAAACAAATGATAGTTTGAAGTATT